CCCAGGAGATGTAAGACAAATAAACCCTTTCCTCCCCAAGTTGGTATTGGTCAGAGTATTTTCTCACAGCAATGAAGAAACAAACTTGGTCATTTACCTATTACAGAAACTGGTTCAGAATTGTGGATCTTCTGGTTCTACCTCCTTGAAGTTCTTTGAGGCCTGTGGGTGAGCTTGGTCCCGTCTTGCTTCTGAGACACATAATTCTTGTTCTAGTCGCAGAGCTCGAGCCCCATTTATAGCAGTCTCAAACGTCACTGGTGCCTCTAAATTTTATCCTTCTTAGATGACCTTGTCTTCACATTTTCTTATCAGATATAACCTATAATTCCATTTAGGTTGTGGTTAATATCAAAACAATTTCCAGAGATGGGGAGAGGGTCAGTGACCAGTGTTACTCACTTGATTCCATTCGTATTTATATTTGTTGGCCTTTGAAAGACAACAGATGGCAGCTGTTAAGTCTGGGGGTTTGCTCTTACATTCATTCTGGGCATTCATTTTTGCTCCCTACGGTCAGGCTGTTTGTGAGCTGCCTTTTCTTTATGTTCATGTGTGCATAGAACTTTCTCTTCCAACATTGTAACTTTTTAGGGAGAAAGCTGACATTTAAATGCCTGTAAACACTATTACCTAACATAGGTGCAAAAGCCTTGCTGTACAGCCTAGGGATTTGGCAAGAGCTTGGACTTGATTTGCTGCTACCCAAAAGCAAGCATAATAAACTAAACCTCAGAGTGTGAAACAATCTACCAGTTCAGATCCAATGGGCAGAAACATCAAAGGCCAAGTTCATGAGAATTTCCTGAGAAGACCAGCTTCATGCTCACAATAACCTGCAGTCAAATTGGGGTCTGCCTGTGTTATATGTTTTGAGAGGGAGGAAGAGTTTTTTTATTCTAGTGTTACTGTGTAGGAGAAAAGCTTTTAAGTTGTAACACAACAAAAACTTCACCTATACAGAAGGAAATCTAGAATTCTTTTTTTTTAATTATCTCTGTTTTTTATGTGTATGAGTGTATTGCCTGCATGTACATTAGGTATACCCTGCCATTGTACCCATGCCGTGTATTGCCCTTGGAGATCAGAAGAGGGTGTCAGATTCTCTGGAACTGGAGTTACAGATGGTTGTTAGCCACCATGTGGGTGCTGGGAATTGAACCCGCATCTTCTGTAAGAGCAGTCAGTGCTCTTAACTGCTGAGCCATCTCTCCAGCCCCAGAAAGCTAGAAGTCGTAAAAAAAAATGTATTTCATTTTTAATTATGAATATGTGTATGTGTTTATTTGTGGGTATGTTGCATATGAGTGTAGTGTCTGAGGAGGCCAGAGAGGGCAGTGGATCCCCTGGAGCTGATAATTACAGGCAGCTGTGAGCTACTTGACATGGGTACTGGGAACTGAACTTGGATCTTCTGGAAGAGCTGTATACACTCCTAACTGTGGAGCCAACTGTCCAACCCTGGATTCTGAGTGACAGCTGCAGGTCTGTGGAGACAGTGCTTCAAAATTTATTTTTCACTGGGTGTGGTGGCATGATTTGTAATCCTCGCATTAGGAGGCTGAGGCAGGAAGGAAGATTGCCAGACCCTGTCTCCAAAAAAAAAAAAACCTTTCTTTCATGAATTGGAATTGAAATCACCAGAAGAGATTTTTATAGTGACTTTGTATCTAAGGGGGCAGATAAGTCAAAGGACCCTGTTATCAGTCATGTTTATTGTTTTTAGACAGGATCTCAGGATGTAGCCCCCAATGGCCTACAGCTCCCAGTAGACAAGGCTGGCTTCAGACTCACAGAGATCAGCCTGCCTTTGTCTCCTGAGGGCTGGAATCAAAGGTGTACACCACCACACCTGGCATGTTTATTTGTAAGATAAGTTTATGGAAAGATTGGGGTCTTAGCTTTTAATTGCATGCTATCAGTTACTTTGGTCAATCAACATGTAATGTCCTTTTCTGGAAACGATTGGTCTCCTGGATTCATGTAGGCATGGTCTCTTCAGGGATTAAATGTCGTTATGGTCATCATATGACACCTACTAGTCATTTTATAACTACTGTGTACAAAGCATTGTGCTGACACTTTATTCTGGTTTCTGCTTCATTCACCTTGCATAGCAGTCGTGCAAAGTTGTGTTGAGGAAAAGGAGAAAATCTTTGAGCTTTAGCAGCAGGTGTCAGACATTTCTGAAGGAGAGGATTTTGGGCGATTGGGGTACTCTGGTATGTGTTCAGGACAGAGAACACGACTGTCCCCAATCTTGGTCATCAGTCATTGCTGAGGCTTGAGAGGATAGGGAAATGCCTCAGCCCCTTAGAAAATAGAAATTCAGAGCTAGTTCTGAAGAGGAAGGTGAGAAGAGATAAAAAGCAGGGAGAAGTGAGTGGATTTACTCATGGGCACAGATTTCACAGCATGTCTCATGACCGCAAAGACCCAGACAGACGGTCAGAACTCTGGGCGTGCTGGGTTTGTGACTGTGCTTGGGGACAGTGGAGTCTGGAATTACTTCCAACTAGACAGAGAATACAGACCAGCATCTGAAGAAACCATGAGAGAGAACATTCCTGAGAATTCACTCAGTCTTAGGAAGACATGGTTTCCCCAAGTCATAGAATTAGGGATTTGAATCAGTCTTATAAAAATAAGGCAAGAGGCTGGAGAGGTGGCTCAGCAGCTTAAGAGCACTGGCAGCTCTTATAGAAGACCCGGGTTTGAATCCTAGCACTAGCTGTCCATAACCGCACTGGGGATCTGATGCCCGCTTCTGTCCTCTGCAGTCATCACATGACATGGGTGCACTTGCATATATGCACTCAGTAATGCATACACATAAAATAAAAATAAAGCAAAAAATAGTAACAAGGCAAATGGAACATATGGCATATAAGTTATAATAGGTATGAGTGTCTCCATTTTACTGATAAAAAGAATCGTAAAATTAGAAGAGATGGACTTTGACAGAAATCACACAGAGATTCCAACTAGTCTCATTCATATACTGAATTTTTTCTATTTAGCCAAATTGGTTTTTTGTTTAACAGCTGGCTTTCCTACATTATTAAAATCATTTTCTATGTCATATATCTGAAACCTTGTGTTTCTAGATGAGACTTTTGATCAGTAGACCGTCCTACTGCGAATATGACTTTTGAGTCTCAGCAGATTGCTGGTGTATGACAGTGGCTGGGCGTCCTCCATTCTTCCAGTTAGGATTTGGTGTATCAGAGCTCTCCGCTGCCATTGCAAAACTGTAGAGCTGTGAGCGAGGGGACTCTGGCTTGTTAGCACTGGTGCTGTGTGGCTCTTACTTGGCCTCTCTTTCACCCCTCTGTCTCTTGTTTCCAGCTTCAGACATTGCTTGTTCTGCTTTTGTTCTTCTGCCCAGGCATCCCTCTACAAAGGACATTTGTGATCCAAGACTTACTTCCCCTGCCCACCAAAGCATTCTCCATCGAGATTGCAAGCACCCTCCTAGGAAGTGGTCTGCTTATCCCTGCAGGAGACCTCTGTCTAAGGAAGGGAGGGGAAGTCCTTTCCTTTTTTCTTGTCTAGTTTTTGATTGCATTGACAAATGTTTGACTAACGGCAGATAGTTGATAAGATCACTTGGGCAGAACTTAACCATCTCACCTGTTGGTATAAACTAAAATATGGGCATGCTCATTTTCTGTCTTGCCTACTTGCGGTTCGTTACATTGGGACCTGATATCAGCAGTCTACACTAGGCAGCTACACATTTCTGCATCTCTGGTTTTCAATGTGAGGAATGATTTTTGTTCTAACCTTATTGGCAGGTAGGAGCTAACTTGTGCTCCTCCTGACTACTCATGTTTCTGAGAGCTGTCTTTGATTCTATCTCAGGTGGTTGTCCTAATTACGAGTCCCTTTCTTCTTCCCTTGCTGTCTGCCCTGTCATTCTGTCACCACAGTTTTGCAGTAGAGAAATTTTGACCATGGCTGCATGGTCAGTTGCGAAAGTTGGGTCATTTCCCTATTCATGCTGTTCATGTGGGGCCTAGTGCCCTCAGGTATCATTTGGTATATATGATTGTTGGGTTCCATGGCGCTCTCCCAGATGCCTCAAATCAGGCCTAGCCATATGTTTGAATGTCTTTCTCTACCCAGCATTAGTAGGGCTGCTGAAGAAGAATGTGGATT